TAGGATCATCCAGACCTGGATGCAGTACTCCAGATAGGGCTTCTCAAGAGCAGAGTACAGAGGGACAATCACCTCCCTTACCCTGCTGGCATCAGGCATTTTTCCATGATCGTTCAAATTTTATTGTGAACATCTTTACAGTGATACCTGCGAGCTCCCTCAGTGCTTTTGTATGTATACCATAAAGGCCCATGGACTTAAGAATGTCTGATTTGCTTAAGTATTCTCTATTCGATCTTTGCTCCAGACTTCCCTGTGTCTCTCTGTCGTTAGATTTCTGAAGTCAAAGATTTCCCTTCTATGTCTATTTTCCAGTTTTCTATTTTCCAGTCTTCTACTCATAACATGAAGCCAGATTTCTTCCTTCCTCACTTTCAGTTGAGTAGAAACAACAGAATTCTTCAGACCAGATTGAATTCTTAGTTATATTTGTGGCATTTTATTGCTTCTGTACACAGTCACTAACCCATGTGTTTCTACAAATGAAAGTTGTCTTGTTTTTGAACTCTACTCAGCAATTCTGTAGGTAATGAAAAAGGAAACAGCTGTAGATATCACCTTTTGAGAATTTTGAAAAATTAGTCAGTAGTCATCATATTTGAAGCAAATCCCTGACTGTGTTATCTCATAGGCAGAGTTAGCTCAGAGGTAATGTCAACAGTTGGCCTCTTTTAATTTTTCTTAATTCTAGGAAAAGATAAGTTGCATCAGTAAGAGTTAAATTAGATGGCCTGGGGGAATGTGTAGTTCTTTTTCTTCTGTAGACTCTTTCAATTTAACTAAGCTAGAAAGGCTGCCAGTAGGTACTTAAGCCAGGACTGCAAGTCACTGCTCAAGGCTTGTTAAGTTGCTGTTTACATCTAAGGAAAATGCTATAGAATTATAGCATTTAAGAAAAAACATTTTGGCCTGATTTTCAGCTAATGACTTGTGACTGCACTGCCTGTGTATGTGTGTGTGCATGCGTATCTCCACAAAAATCCATCTGTTTTTCTGTGTGTCTTCTGATAACTATTGAATGCATTTCAAAAACAACTCATTCCTGCAAGCATTTTTAAAACTTGGCAGATAAGAATATAAGCGAAATGTTCTGTACCCTGGCAAGGAAGAAGACTGAATTAAAAATTTACTCACTTAAAAATCAGTCAGAAACATTTGGGAATGAATGGTTGTATCTTTCTGGCTCTTGAAACTTTGCAGCAGCTTGGAAAGCACCATTAAATTTAAACCAAAAAGAAAAAGGAAAAGCACATGAGTTTGAAGACCTTTCCAAAGGCAAAATTTTCATTATGGGCATCAGAAATTTTAAGACCAACAGAGTATCTCTTTTGTACTGTTTTAATTTTATGATTTTATGAAGACAGTTAAAGTTTATATACCTACATTTGGTTCCATTTTTAAGTGACAGGCTTCTCCTTCAAGGCAAGAGAACACCTGTACATATTGGAGGATTGTAGATAGACCTGGTAGTTCCTCTAAATGAGCTACCAAGTGCTCACTTACAACTCTGCAAATTAATCTATTAGACCTCAAGAATCCATGTAGTATTTTAATGGAGATGCACATCTATAGTCTAGGTGATTTTTTCTTTTAGAATTTTCTTAATTATTTCAAAGGAAGAGTAGAACTTTTTTCATAACCTAACTGGTATTGACTAATTTACATACTAATCTTTAAATTAGTTGGGAGAACCTTCTCTTTAGAATGAACAAACTAGAGAAAAAGGTCTTTGGATTTTTTATCATGTTAATATGCACTAAAACCCTTTGTCCGTATTTCAGTTCATATGTATTTTTAACAAATACCAAAATGTATAAGTCCAAAACCGTTATTTCAAGAGTATGTACAGTGCATGCATAGATTTTGTATCATGTTCTAATGAGTTTGTGCAGTAGCCAGAACTCAAGGATTATTTGGTTTTGTAAAGCCTTTATAGCTTTGACTTGTTAGCTTTTTATTTAAATCTAAAAGGAAGAGGAAAATACTGCAGGCAAAAAAGGAAAGCCTTGTGGATATCACTCTTTTTACAGCTGTGATCATACTGCCAAGACAAAGAAGAGCTGCAGCGTTAACCTACTAACTCCATCATTTTCTTGTAGGTTGAAGAACACTTATTCCAAAATAAAAAATGAATACTTCTCTGACAGTTATTTAGATCATATTGCTGAGCTAAAAATGTAAAGCAAAGTCATCAGCTTGTATTGCTTTACTGAAAGAATAATTTTTCTTTACTATCCAAAGTTCTGAAAAGAACAGAGAAAAGAGATTAAATGTCTTTGTGATCTCACATTTTGAGAATAATAGTTGGTGGTGGGAATCACAACCAGAGAAATCTATATTCAAATCCACAGCAAGACGATACCTCCCACAAAACCTATTTGCCATTTTTTTTTGCAAGCCAATAACATAAATTGCTGAGTAAGAGCTTCTTCTCTTCAAATCCAGGAGATTACCATTGTTTTAAATGACAAGAAATAGTCTTACTCTAGGTGAAAAAGAAGCTCAGTTTGCTCCATTTTCTGCAAAAACTGTAGTGGTTTTTATATGAAAAGGGCTAGAGATTACTCCTGAAATTATTAGAACTTACCTGATGTAATCAGGCAAAGGAAGAGTCTTACACTGTCACTACAATCATGTATGTTTGTAGGCAGAAATAAATTCAAGAAAAAAAATTATTTTTGACAAAACAGATCTTATAGTATGACTGTCACAGGAAATTACTACTAACAAATACTAGAAAAAAAGTAGAATGCTAGAAAGTACTAGTAATAATTAGAGAGTTACTCTATATTCACAGAACTTCTGATTCAACAGCAACTGAATTCATTTTAAGTTTGCTTATGTATTGAATACTGAGAAAAAAAAAAAGAAGTTGAAGGTTGAAGTTCTGAGTCACACTTTACAAGTATTGTACTCTTATTCACAATGTAATATTTGCCATAAATAATTCCTAGTTGCTTTGTAATACTAATGATTTCTAAAAGTATGTATTAAACAATAAAATCATTAGGTTCATTTTCTAGTAATATAAAGAGGTACGCTATGAAAACAGCTTTTGGAAACTGTTTTCATAGTGGAAATTTTTACTGTGTCAAAAATTTTCTTAATATACAGATAAGGAACAAACTGTTCTTAATAAAAATAACTGATTTTGAATTCTGAACAGCTTGTACATCGTTATTTCTTAAATAAACTTGTGTCATTAAAAACACCACGGTAAGGATACGTGTTAGGATTGGGTAAAGTACTGTCTTTTCTACTTGTTTTGTAACACTAAGTTGTGTATTTGTGGAATAAGAGCAGTCATGTTGTAAGTGCATAATGCAGCCAGTTTTCCATCAGAGCATATTCATAAAGCAACAGATCTGTGTTTTAAGATAAATTTGAATGGCATTGCAGCAACTTTATATGATTCAAATCCCCAAACCTTTGATTTTGGGTAGTGTTTACATTCTGCATTTCTTAGTGTGTATTTTTTGAGAGAGATGATGATTTGTCTAGCAATTGCCTTTCTCTTTATGCTGTGAACTCAGTAGCTTGGAAGAGATACTATAATATATTTGTTCTAAAATCTAATTCATTGTCCTCTACTATGATTTTAACTTTAAATAAATTGTTTTCAAGCTTAAATAATTCTATTAAGGAACAGAAACATCACAGTTCAAATGAAATTGGGGGGACTTAAGACTTTTTATCTATTTTCATTACATTTTCTTAAAATGCACTTTTTTAAAATAGGTGCGGATGTAAGCAATGTTATTGTTAACACTACTCAAAATTTTCCACGTTTCAATTTCTTTTGAAATCTGTCTTGAAACAGTAGCCTTACACTAATTCTGTTCACTATCCATATAATTACTGTGTCACTGTACCTAAAAGTTAAAAAAAAAAAAAAAATCCATTCAAGGAGATTGAAATGCTTAAACATACACTGCATGGTATAAATTTGACTACATCATCTGACAGAAAATGAGCTTTCAATATAATTGTTAGTAGAAAATATATGTGCTATATATATAGATACAAACTTCATATATTACATTGGATTGCATCCAGACGTACTGTAAAGACTTGAATATCCAAGAAGTTGAATATTTTGAAAAGCCTCTTTGTTCTGATCACACCCTAGTATTAAAGTCAAAATCTAAGTAATTATACAGCTGCTCTTGGTAATTGTGTTGGTGTTCCCTATTTTGGGTGGACTTATGTCTGTGTTATTAAGATGATCTTTTGACAATGATCTGTTCTGGATTTCTCCAGTAATTCAGAAACAGGATAAACTTTTTTTGGCAAGAAGAAACAGCTCACTAAGTTTGTGTTTTCTCTATGTTCAGGCATGATGGGAACCTTCTTCTGTATGTAATAATTTGTTTTTTCTACAGTTTCTTCTGTCATCCTAGTCTACTATTTGTTAATGCTGCAAATATCCAGTATTTCCAATTGGTGTTGCATTGTAGTTTCCTGACTTCCATGTACCTCCAATGCGAAAAACACATGAAAGCTACTATTTAGGTTGAGCGTGGTTGAATAATTTTCTATCTTTTGAGGGAAAACTCAAGAGAGTTGATCACATGCTTTAGGTTGAATGCTTAAATGAGTTGCTTTAAAGTTAGACCAAAGAGCTTACCACTTTATCAACTGTGAAGAGCCACATGTTGCTGCTGCTAAGGAACATCTTTTTTTTTTTTGTGGTTTGAGAACTGAGAAATGTATCCAGATTTGTCCATTCTACAGCTCCAAAGCACCTTAGTAGTTACAATTTCATACACATTTTAATCATATTTTAATGCTTTTAGTATGGTGATGTTTTTCAAGTGATTGTATTTGGCAGTGTTACTGGTGAATTAATTCTTTTTTCTTCTTCTTTTCTTTCCCACTGTCACTGTTTTCTTTCCTTATGATCCCTTATTTTTAATGTTTTATCTAATTTTTCACTTTTTATTTTCAATATATTTCTCTTTCGCACCCCTTATTTTCTCTAACACTTCCTATCCACACAGATAGATGCTGTGAAGCTACTAGACGTGAAAATGGAGGCCAGTCCCTGCAGCTGAATGCTGCTGGTTTCTCTTTCATTGTAGTCATAAGTTTCTGGTGCATGTTGTGAAGCTGGTGATGAGGCAAGCAATACGTATTTTTCCTCTCCCTCTTAATATTTAGAGAAAATTAACACAAACCTGTAAAGACATAAATAAATGTACTTTTCTATAGCTCTTCTAAAATTTCTAATCCAAGATAAGACCCCGAATAGTGTAATTTCTTCAGTCTATGCATGTAAAATTCTTCATCCAGTTTTTTGTAAACTTGTAAATGTTGAAACAAATTCAACAGATTATGCGTGGATGTTCTGTCTGACAGAAATTGGAGAATGTGATCTATTCAGTTTCATTTGATTGATTTGAGTCAATGCTGTTTTCTAAACTGTGTTTTGGTTATAAGAAATCTTTGCCTAGACTTTTATCTCAGTAATACAGTTTTCTGGATATGACATGAACTGAGCTTCTTTGAGAGCATTTTGATTCTCTGTTAATCGCTTTTAGTGTTGTGCTTATACTTAATAGTTCCTTCCATGATGTAGTTAAAACTTTGTGCTTAATATAGACATTTTTTGTACTTTCCACTGGATTTTAAAAATCGTTTATTCACTGATTTGTAGTCTACAAGTTGCTTTAGTTCACAGAATTTAATTTCCTATAATTTCAGTGTACCTCTCTGCAGCCTTGCTTCAGCACAGAAAATACATTGCTGTCTTCCATACTCAGTTCTGAAACTGGAACAGTGCCACATTCAAATTCATGGCATTTGTTGGTCTTGAAATTCCAGTGAGCTTAATCTTGACCTTCAGTACAGAATAGGTAGAAGCCTTTTCCCTGTTTCATATGTAAAACATATGTTCTGTGTAACATAGAACATAGGAGCATGGAACAAAGAATACAAAGCCTCAGATTTTTTTCTAAATTGATTTAGTAAGTATGTATGCAAAAGTTGGACTGCATATATCTGATATTAGAATCTACGTAGTTGACTTTTTTAGGGTACTTGGCTTCAAATCATTACTGAGTGTAGCAAACTATACATTTACAGTATATGGTGTTTTTTCTTCGGGGGTTATAACCATTAGCTTGTAACTTTGAAAGTATTTGGTCAAATTTAAGTTCATATATCTTCACCAGTGTAAAGGATATTCTTATTTCTTAGAAACAGTGATTATTGTCAGTTTTGCTAGTTCTTGGTTGTTCTCTGAAGTCATTAATACAACATTAATAGACCCTCTTTCCATCATAAAAATAAACAAAAAATCATTTTAGAAAACCAATTTATGTCATAAATTGACATAAGATGTCCTCGTAAGTGACATGTCCTCAGAATGCATACGTGTAAATCTGAAGACTAATTTATTGTATTCACAAAAAGGCTTATATATGTATATATGTATATAAATCTGCATATTTAATGCAATGATGTTATAGCTGGAATTCAAGCAAATGTAATTTTTGGCCTTCATACAATCTTCAGAAGAACTTTCACCCCATTACGTAGGGCCAGTGTTTCATTCACAAACATTGCCTATGTACTTTATCACTTTAACCCAATGCCTTTTCACTAATTTGAACTGAATTGCATTGAGATGTGCTTGGCATAACATGGCAGGGAATAAGATATCTGTTCAAATTTTGTAAGAGTGCAAGCTGTTGGTTCCCAGTCAAAATTAGTTGAGTGAAATTCTGTTTTGACATCAATAATATGAATGTATATGTTGACTTTTTTACTTAGTTTTATTTTTATAAAACTTTTTTTTTATTCTTATAAAACTTATTTATTTCATGCTTATAGTCCCTAGAGACAATGCTGATTGAAGAACAGGAATCTTAACACCAACTTTTTTTATTTTATTTTATTTTATGAAAACTTCTTTGTTTAACTATGGTTTGAGCCATTAGCTGCACTTAACAGTTACAAAAAACTTCCAAATGCAAAAATATATTTTCAGTTGATTATAACTGCGATAAGTGCTATTGCGTACGCTAAATAGTTTTAGAGAGGAATTGTCTCAGGAACTTTTGCAAGAAGCTTTGTTTTTTTCTAACCATTTATAAAATCTGTAGTATAGAAAATTTTTGTCATCATGTTATTATCAGAGAAAAAAAAAAAAAAAAAACAGGCAAAACTGGCAACAGAAAAACATCCTGAAAGTACATCTGTACTTAGAATCAGAGAGCTGACATTTAGCAGATATGTAGAAATTAGACGCTGCTTACATTCCAAAGGAAAAAAAAAAAAAAAATCCCCGCTGAAGTCTGGCCTCATTATAAATCTCTGAAAATCTCAGTCCAAACTGATCAAGAGAGAACTGTTTGATCTCCACTGGGTGTGCCTCAGCACAAGCTCATCATAATCTGCTGCAAGGAGCTCTTTCTCAGTTTGCAGAAGCACAGTGGTACAGACACTGTGGCTCCTTGTAAAACCAGGGCAGCAGCAAAGCCTTTCAAGAGGCTGTTCTTTTCATTGTAAGGTAGGCAACAGATGATTTAAGGAAAATAGCTTTCCTTTGCAGACACAATAGAGCACTCGCTAATGCAGTGCTGAATAACAAAGAAAACCAAAATACGGCTACCATCAAAACTAGTCAGTACCTGTCACTGGGTAACTAGAATGTCTAGAATAAATCTTAGATGATCTCTTAAAAGGAAAAGTAAAACATTCTCATTAAGGTTGCACAGTCAACACTCAACCCAATTATAATTTTGCCTTATTTTGCAATATTTTCCTAATCTAAAACCTTTATGCTCTGCTACTGACTTTTATTATGTATACAAAAGATGTTATAAACCTTTCTCTGTTCTTGGTAAACATTTGAAATGTTCTTCACTGGTTAAAAATTTACCATTCTGCCATTTCACGCAGGAATACAAAATGGCAAGATAGGAATTAGGGCACAGAGAATGATGAGCTCTGCACTCTCCAAGCATAATTATGAAAGGGCTAATTAAATGCTGTGAAAAATTTTAGAAGCTGCATGTACACTGTGACTGAAAAGTTTTCTCTTATATTCAGCGTACCAGTGCCAGTGGGATAAAGAGACAGTTTTCATTTTTCTAACTGATAGTAGATTTATCTTAATAATACATAATTTTTTGTAAAATGATAGAAAATTTTGGTCTGCTGCAATTTATGCTCTTCTGCTTTATGCATTTTGAAATTATCAGGCATTGTGAATATTTAATTTTCTTTTGGCTCTACCCTTCCCAACCGAGTCCAAAGAGTATGAATTAAGTCAATTATTATAGGGACTTTGTTACAGGAGAGCCAGGCCAGTCTAAGCAATGTCTCTAAACTACTGTTAAGAGACGGAAGAAAAAGAGGATAATATCCTTGGGTTGTTCATCTGTCTCCTGATATTAATAATTAACACAGTTTTGTTTGAATTTCATTTCAAAAAATCGTAATTCATTCTTTGAAAACGATGAGAACAAGATTATTTTGCAGTATTTTATACATTCTGTAGGAAGACACTGGAGATTTTAAAATCTTGTCTTCCTACAGACAAGAATAAGGAAAAGTGGAAAGAGACATTTGCAAATTAAAATATAATTGGTAGGTAAAGACTGAATAGCTTTTAAATTGTAGTTTAGACTGTATTAAAATGATAAATATGTCTTCACAAATTGAATGTGATATTCTGCTGTCATTAGTACTTTAATGTTAGATTAGTAAATTTGTTCCTTTAAATATAGTAATTGTGAAGGAGATTTTAGATCTCATGATTGACAATGTAAAGTATTCCCATTTTTCAACATTGTCACATATTTTGAAATGCTAATATTCAACTGTCTGCAGGACTGAAGCGCTGAAATGTTCTGCACTGAACTTACAGCCTTAAATTTAAATTGATGGTGCAGAAAAGTAAAGAAGGATAATGATTATTCTTTAATATCTCTAAAGAACAGTATTTTTAAAATCTTTTTGTGTACAACTTTTTGAGTCTAAGGCTGTTTTCTTTCCTAATCAGATTTTAGTTGTCTTCTTGCTTCCTGAGTTTGACAAGTTATAAAATAGTTTGATTTACCTAGCAGAACTTCAGATATGATCCTTTATTTTTTACAGTAGGGTTATTAGAAGATAAATTACTGTGTCTAGATAAATAGGAAAACACTGCCCATAAAAACACATACTTCCCACATAATCCATACATTTATCAGGAATAAAGTATGTCTGTCCATATGATTTCACAGGATATACAAAGCATACCATCACTAAAGAACAAACTAACATTCCATTTAATGTTGTGATGGAAGTGCAGAGCCAAACAGTAATGTGAAAAGTATGTTCATGGAAAAATAGTTAGAATGAAGACAAATACACTGGTTTAATTAAAGATGTAAAAGTATGATCAATATTCAGTTAGATACATGGGCCTTAGTTAATTAGTTATAACATGGAAGCTTCTGGCACTAAATTCTATAGCTCCACTCAAATCTATATATAAATGTAAGATGAATGGATTAAGATTTCAAAAGAATTTTTATTAAAAAGATAACAGTGATGCATTTACAATTTGTGACTGGACTAATAGTCTCCAGTCTTCTATCTATTGTTCATTATGTTGATGATTACCACTGTTCATTTCTTCAGAATTTTTAGGGAAAAGGGGAAAAACAAAGTTGTTGAACAGACAAATGTAGCTTCTAAAGTCTGTAACAGCATCACTGAAATCTGTGCTACATCCAGGGCTCTGTTGAGCTTCTCACGTTTTTCTTCATCCATCTCATTTCTCCAGGCATATAAGGAATCTTCAGCTTTCCTTTGCTACGCACATAGTGGATGTAAAGTGTAAGTGATGGAACTTACAGAGAAAAGTCTGTTTGTTCTAATGCCAGTGGCAATCTAATATAGTCAACGATGTCAAATAGCAAACATAGAAAATCTGACAACTTTCCAGTTGAGAAACAGTACCTGTATGGAAGATGTATGTTTGAAAGATATGTTACTTAGAAGTGGTTAACAGGCACTAGGTCAAGCAGCTGAGGTAGGAATACCCATTTTTTTCATTTTGTATATAAACTGACTGAAGTTCTCAGAAAAAGTTGTAATCACACTTGTCTTTGTAATTACATTACTAAGTATGATACTGTTATTAAAGGTTCTGAATATTTATTATTTCATACCCGACATTTTGTAGAGGCAACTCCTAGTAAAAACGTCATTTTCATATAATTTTAATAACGATAAATTTTAAGGGAGCTGTAATACAAGCAAAATAAATCTACTGAATGAATGCTTCCAAAAGAATTGCATTTAAAAATGCATACAGCATACCCCAAACTACTTCTCTGAAACATATTGCAAGCAGCGCTGTTTCTCTAAGTTTATTGTTTCAAAATCAACATAAAAGGCAGTTAGAAAAATCTAGATTTAAAATAGTTTAATTTGTACAGTGATTACATGGTTTCAGTTCATCACATTCGTGTTTCACTGCCACTTTGTTCACTGGTTTCTTTCATGCATGCAATGTCGCTGTCATCTCTCTGCTTTGTCCCTGAAGAATGTCTGAATAGTGTCAATGTAATGTCCTTCAGCATATTTCCAGCACAGTGTCAAGAAATGTATGTAACTTTCTGTGTCTTTCATCTGTTGTTCAAAGTTCACATTTTGTGCAGTTCTGTCTTCATTTTTTTTTTGTAATAAACAAAAATGACTTAAACCATTTCTATCTGTATTTTCTTTATTACTTTAAATACTATTTTCCTTGAATTATCTATGTTTTAACTGGAGAGATTTTTTTGTATTGTGTCAATATTTACATTTTCACAGTAAACCTCAGTGTTTTATCTAATAGCAAATAGATCTTTTGAAAAAAATAAAAATCATTAAATTAAAATTCCCTGATTTTTGGTTTGGCTCATGCTAGATTGCTGCCATGATAGTCAACTAACAGAGCAAATTTGTGAAATATATGTATAAGTATACTGTCAGAGCATTTGAAGCACAGCAATTTAATCTGTCTTCTTGAAAGAACTGTATCTCAAAAGGCAAGTGTTTTATGCTCGGAGAAATTGTAGTGGTGCACAGCACTTCCATGCTGTGTCAAACTGCTGACATTTGCAGTTGTATCAGTGTAACTATTTCAAATGAAAACATGCATCGTATACTGCCAACTCGCATAATACTAAACTTATATTTTTATAGCTAATGCTATACAATAATTATGCACTTAAAATATTATTCCAAGTAATACTTCCAAGCTCAAAACTGCTGTGTTTGCATATACGTCTGTAATGAACTAAAAGAAAGTGCTGCCAGGCCTGAAATATTTTATCATTTCAAATACAGACCCAACACAGTTTGTCTCTTAGAGACCTCCTGACTATATTTCTCTGGTTACAGTTGTCATCCACCAAGAAGATGCAAAAGTCTCTCAGGTCTCTGTGG